CCTAGGATCTGTACCTTGCAACATTAAATAAAACACTCTGAGTCTCAGTGCCGGAATAAGAACCCAAAGGAGAATTACCTATGATTATTGAATCTAAAAACCCCTTTATTAGAAGAATTTATTCCATAACCAATGAACAAATTTTGGTCCACCTCCCTAAATTCCTACTGGGGACATGACAAGGATCATTGCCTCCTCCAGTTGGCTCAGAGCTACACAGATTCTGACCAATATGCAACCTGTGCTACTCCTTCTGGATTTTCCCCAGCACTCACATTAAGGAAAACTATTCATTGTTTGGGTATTTTTACCTTTACTCACTCCTCCCTTCCAACATTCTCCTGCCCATCTACGTACAAATTGATCTTTTAGGGCAGGAGATACACTTCCAGCAGGACTCTTAACTGCCTCCTACAATATTCTTCAGTCAACAGCAAATATTTTAGACCTCAATTTATTTATTTTTGGCCTACAAAATATTCAAGAAAGCATAGCTACAAACTTATTTGTGCAACAGATTCTCACTCATCGTGTATTCATTTGATGAACAATTCTTTTTGACATTACAAAAAAGAATAATTGATTGCAGTTTGAAGGGGAACAACAGCACTTGAAATTCTGAAATCTGAATTAGATTGTTTTTCTTTTTCCAAAATTAAATGCTATATTTTGTTCTCACTTATACAGAAATTTGCTGGGAAAGGGAGGATAAGATTAAACATCTCAGTTAGAATCAATGATTTTTGAATGTGCTCAGCCTGTGTGTAACAAGATAGTCTGCCTAGAATGGGGTAAAACAACTTGAACAATGCCCTATTTGCAAAGCTATCCATGCTGCTTTTGGTGTTGAATAATGCTGAAAGCAGACTGACTCATCAGCTCCAAAATTAAACATCTTGAGAGCAAGGTGAAGATGTAGCTGTCCTGGCAAAGTGTCTGATAAAAGAACAAAAAAGTGACACTACTGATAACTTATCTAAAGCTCCTGAACTGGCACAGCTGGCCTGGAGACGTCTGACTGAGCAGTCCCAGTCTTCAAAGGCACGGCCTTCTGACATCTCCCTTCCTGGAATGTGTGGAGATCTTCCCTTGGATTGGGGGTGTCCCTCGAGGTTATTCCTCAAGGCTGAACAAAAGAAATTTGCCTACAGTCTTTGGTACGAGTCAGTAACATCAATCTCTACTTATTAATTGGCTTTGTTAGCTTTCCAATAATTGCTTCAATATTAAAACCAGAGAATTAGACTGTACTAATAGCTTCTCCCTGTGGAGTAAATAATTCTGATTAAGATATTTTAATCTAATCATTATCATAATCATAAATATCTCTGGTTTGCCATCCTTAATTCTGCAGGACAAAGTTGTACAAAGGTTCAATCATATTTGGTATAATGGGTAATCCCTCAAACATAAACTGTTGACTAAGTCTGGGGCTAAAACTGGATCTCTGAGGAGTTCAGAAAGCAAGGGGGTCCTTTCTACACCTCATAACTCAACTAATAAACTTTGTGTGAGGCTCCCATTCTGTTTGAGACACAGCATAACACAGGTTATGGTTGAGCCTGGGACCTTCCCTGGGGGGGTAACTAAAGAAGCCCATGGGATCACAGACAGCATGGGTACAGTGAATGCAAAATCAGAGCTAAAACCAGTATAAAGCAAGTAATGATTCCTTCTACCAGAAAAGAGATGCTAAAGGCTCCAAAGCAAGAGTAGGCTTCTAGACAAAAATAGTATAATTACCATAAAACCCCCCATATCAGGTACATCTGTAAGAGGTCTATTAGACTGGAAAACCTTAGGGCTTTTTTTTCAATTATATTTGTGCTAAAAACAAATGCTATCATTACTTGCCAAGTTGTCTCTTTTCCTGGGCCACATTGCTATAAACTACCTCTAGAGAGGCTTGGGGACCTACAGTCACAAGACCTGCCAGTCATTTAATATGCACATCGTGCTGCAAAGACACTGACAACTTGACAAAGTAACTGCAGCGATGCCATTACTGGTTGTGAATTCACACATCGCATTTCCCTCGCTCCCGAACCTGAGACAGACAGACGTGGTTTGTCTTTAGTGTCAGAAACACACAGAACAGGGAGGAGCTCCTTTGTGCTCCACTTAGGATCACTGACCGGTGTCCACTGTCATAACAGCCAAGGAACATCTAAGCCTTTCCACAGGATGATCAAAACTAGGGAAAAAATGCTGTTGTATACTCTAGCAATGTTATCATATTGGCAAAATACTGCTTTGAAAGCCAGTTATTTTAAAAATAAGGCATGCTTAAGCACTGCCCAGGGCCGATGCAATTAAGCTTTAACAGCTCAGAGTGCTCATGTGCATGAGAACAAACTCTTTCCCCTGTGCCTCTTTTCCTTGGATAAGGTTAGAAATAGTTAATGTTTCCAGCTGAAAGACAGATATGCCCACTCAATAAATCACAAGGTGAATTTGTAACTTATCTGTCCCATAATATTTTGTTCAAAGTTCATGGCTGCTCTCAGGAAAACAAACCATCAGCAAGTACCTGTTAAACCAAGCTCTTTATTTAATGAACACTGCTAATGGAACACGTACTAGCATTTGTTCTCTGCTTTTATAATTAAAAAAAAATTTCTAACAGACATATAAAGAAATTTTCCAATAGAATTGGAGGTTGCAATATTGATCCTGCAAAACGATTATTGTTTTTTTAGGATAAATTAAAATTTCACTTAAAGTATGACATCAGTGTCCAGTTTTCACAGCCAGCAATGTTATGAGATATATTGTACCTGGTTTTTTATGTACAGATACCAACAAAGTTTTAGGAAAAAAGCAGGATGCAAATACTAGGAAGTCAAAAACATGCCTTCTGGCAAATAAAGCAAGTTTCTTTAGCTTGGACATCATCAACATGAGTGAAAAGTGGTTAGAACTCCTAAGCAGCATTTAATGCCATTGATATTTTTATAATCCAACCTGTTTTCCAAAAGAAATATCACTAAATAAATGCAGTAACCTTTTTATATCCTTAGAGTGGAAACAGTAAATAAAACACAGAATATATTTTTAATTACTTTAATAAAACCAGTTTGTGATGATGAAAGTACAGTTTAGTAGGACTGAATCTGGCAGAGCTAACATTTAAAACAGACAAATATTGTCAACTCAAAATGTAAGACAATACATTATTTCCTAAAAGGTATGTTCTCAGTATCAAAAGGAACACAAAATAAATTTTTTGTTAGTCTTAGAACCTCTCCCTTTAACTATATTTAGCTGTGAGAAAACTCACTTCTGCAACACACACACAGATTTCCAGAACTGCATTCCCTCATGGGTAGAGCAACAGGAATAAACAGGAAACTAGAGTAGAGTTTCATTATTAAACTTGTAATAATCTCTTTGAAAAATGGAAATTTTTTATCTGTATTTTTTTTACTTTTATTTATGGAAGTTATTTGTATTTGTTTGTTTCTTGTGATTACATTGTGAAAACCCCATTAATTTTCAAGACCAAGCAGAGGATGTGTAGAATGGATTGCTTGCCAGGACCAGAAGAGGGAGCTCAAATTAGTACTTTTATTTATTAGGCTAAAGCAACATGTAACTGTAGAATTTAACAGTAAAGGTATTTCTAAAACATTAATTAGACACTTTGATGTATCATACATTTAAATTAAAGTAACAGATTATCCTCTCTAATTGGCATCTGTAGTAATGGCAGTATAGAGTTAAAGGTTAAAGGCCCTTTTAAAGCTGAGCCTTCACCCCACAGGTGATAGCTGAACAAAAACCAAGTTGCCCTGCAGTAAATATCTTCAAATTTACCTTTTTTCCCTTGCCCATCAGGCACACGGAGGCATTCTCTCCAAGGGGAAAAGTGCACACACACCTCCTGTAAAGGCTCCAGTCCCAGAGACACCTCCAGGTCTTTTTAAGAACAAACTGACTCACACCTCTGTTCTCAAAGCAGGATCAGTTCACTCAGGCTCTGCTTTTGCCTCCTGAGCTGCACTCTCTGCCAGTTATTCTGTACCAAGTCCTTGCTGTGCTGCTTTGCAGAATTAAACCACCACACTCTCACTAAATTTTATATTTTCCTGTGCACTACCTTTAATACAGCATAGGTTGCCACGGCTGTGAAGATGGACAAAGAATACAAAAGCACTTCTCCCTGAGGTGATCCAGTCTGTGTTGGATTAGACATGATGAACCTCTTAGGTAAATAAGTTTGTAGTAAACATGCAATTATTGCTTTACATGCTAAATAACATATAAATAACATATTCATTTCCACTTAAGGTTTTCAGAAGTTTAGTGTAATAATTGTTTTGGACAGTAACAGACAAACAGAATTGGGAGAATGGTACCACCAGAAAAATCTGGGATAAAGTATACATGCAAGATCCCTTCAAGTAGCTCATAAGGGTGGAAATGGTTTTGCAAGTGTACAGAATGTCATATTTCAAATAAATATTTATATGTTGGCAAGAATAGAGCCTACAGAAATGTGAGAGAAGGATATGTTTGAATATTATGTCAAGGTGATGAAATCAACAGAAACCGGAAAAAGATTTAAAGAAAATATTAAAATGTCAATAATAACAGAACAAATCTCACCACATAAAATCCAGAACCAAATGTATCATAAAAGTCTAAGAATAAGACATATCTTCTCTTTGCCCTCTTGCAACCTAATATTTAAATACAAGGTTATTCTCTCAGACTTTACACCCTCTCTTTAACCTTCAGACCTGCAACTCCCTAAATATGTTTCTCCATTCTCAAAGAAATATCTGTATAATATCTGTTCTAATATCTGTGGATATTACGAATACATTGATTAAAGAACAGATTTTATTACAATGAGATAATTAAAAATTAATTTTGGCAAAGGAACAAAACAACAGAATAAGTGAATTAATAAATACAGGTATGTGGGTAGACAAAGAGAAAAATACTCAATGTAATAATGAACAATGTGCCAAATAATAAATATTTATTTGTTCATTTCATGGCTTCTTTGACGGCACTGGATTCCTCTCTTTCCGTTTAGCAGCTTTCTCCATTTTCAGCTGTAACAAAAAAGAAGACACCAGCAGTGGTTCAAACATTGATTTGCAAATATCAAATTTCTACATCCAGTCACAAATTTATCAGGGTGATACATGCAGTGCAGAAAGGTACACAACACTATTATCCCAACCTAGCACTGCTGACTTTTGCACCACCAGACAAAGGAGCTGCAGCTCCTCCCCTATTGAAACCTTATCTCTGATAATGGCAATCTTGGTATTTAAGGATCCCTCAAGGCCAGTGTGCTCATGGGTTTATCTCTATGTCAATGGAAGGTGGAGCAGTTTTATAGCAGATGTCTAACAGACACGGACAAGCCAGCACACATAAAACCACACAGGAATGGTGCTGGGCCTTCATCTCAGAGTGTCCCAGCTGGACCCCCAAGGTCATGAGTTCCTCTTGTAAGATTTTTTCTACACAGCAGGCTCTTGCAACGTGGTAAAATTTATCGACACATACGCATTTCACTCTGTCATTTTGCAGTAAGACTATTAGTCCAAACAAATATATCTGCTGGTTTTAGAAGCTACAATTTTTCTCAAGTACTGTTACGCTGGTGAATTAAATAATTTATTATTGGTGAATGAAATTATTTATTTGGAGCAATTATATAAAAGGGATGCAGAGATTTTTGCATCCCGTCTAACACATATGCTGCTATTAAAAATGCAAGACAAAAAGAATCAACACGCTTTTTCCCATCATAAAATAATATCAAAAGGAAATAAGATCTCATTGGGATCTATGAATGAACACACTGCTAAGCAAATGTTGTTGGTCTACAAAAAAATGAATTTTAAAACTCTTTTACGCCTTTGGAGGCTTGAGGTTATTATCTAAAATTCCGACTACCTTTTGCAAAGAAAACAAAATCATGGGGAAAAAAAGAAATGGAGAAATTTGAATTTGACATTTGTTATGAACCAATGTAATATTTGTAACATCTGTCCATATTTTGTGATGATTTACAAAACAAAGAAAATTATTTCGAATTTCACAAAGCTAGACCAGCTTTCTCCTTAGCAAACACCTTGGTGCAAGCCAGCAAGCAAAACAGCAAAACAGTTTAGATTTATGAAATTAATTATGCAACATTGCCTTACAAAAGAATTCATAAACAGTCGAGACATGCTTCAGCTGAGATGGGGGAGCTAAGGGGTTGACATGGGGAAAAAATAGGTATTTAAACATGTGAATAATCTACACCACAGGACCTTTAAATTAAAGATAATCAGTGTGGTGGAGGAGGCACCTCTGAGTGAGTGATATAGATCATCTAAGAAAGATAGAAGAAATTTAGCCAAACTTACACAGACAGTCATTTAAAAAAAATAATATTATAAAATTTCATAAGCAAGCTAGCAAATACATAATCCTAAATGCCACAGAGGAGTTTCTGTGACTCTGCATTGTTGTTCCTTCTTGTCACATAGTAAAATGTTTTGGTTTTCTGTAACAGAGACTTACCTCAATTAAAATCTGCCTAGCTAAGATAAACGACATCCCACACGACTGATTTCTGAGATCCTGTAGTAGCTCATAACTGTATTTAAAAATGTATGTTAAGAAGGTAGCTTTCTCAGCAATTGAGAAGGAATTATATGACGCATTTATATGTCACTTAAATCATACTTGTATGGATTTTAGACATCCTCTTGTTAAAGTGTATTTGAATTAAGCAATAAATGTAGTAACTTGCCCGTTCTTGATAACGTTTTTCAAAGTAAGCCATGTCATCAGCTTCTGATTGTTTTCCATTAGAAACTTGCCCTGTGCCACTTGAACTACCTGAAAAACAAAACATAAACAAAAAACCAAAACTGCTTTTTTATTAATGATACTTGCTCTTCCATTAATTATGTTTTACATTTGGCAAAACTCATTTAAAATGGGAACTCACCTCTATAGGCAAGTACAAAACCCAGCGTTTAGAACCAAAGAGAAACCTTTTTAGTCCAGCCTTGCACCTATTATAAATTATCTTAAAGGAGTTCAACAGTTATATTAAATGCTACATTTTTGTACTAAATAAGGGACATAAAATAAGTGCAAGTGATCCATAATCCCGTATAGAAAAAGCTATCTGGCAGAAGACATTTTGCAGGGTTGTGATGAATATGTACAACCCATTCAGATATGATAAGTTTCTAAGAGGAATTAAGAATTTTAAAAACTGATCCAATTAATACGGGAAAGATAACAAACCCTAAGAAAAAATAATTTAAGATAAAAAACACATCACAAGCAAGAATAACAAGTGTTAAGTTATTCTAAACATTTGAAGTACATGAATGTTGTACTAACTTATCACATAGCAAAGCTTCAATATTCATTTTAATGCCCTGAGCATCTTTCAATTAATTGATAAAATCAATTAATTTTATATTAAATTCTTTTTTGTATAACAGTATTACCCTGCTTATACATCACCTGCTATTTGTGGCACAGTTTGAGCAGAACTCGAAGGCCCCTGAAATGCTTTTAGGAATGGATGATCCATGTTAGTAATGGGGGCATCTAAAAGTTCAGCAGAAGGAGCACCTGTCAGAAAATTGGAAAGTTGGATGAAAACAATAATTAACTCCAGGAGATACAGCCCTAATACACATGCTGGGGTCAAAGCAAGGTTACAGATTCATATCTACAACTCTCAGCACAGACCCATAAACTGGAGTTAACAAAAGCATTACAAGGATGGCTTCAAAAGGATTGAAAAGCTTTGTTTCTTCAAACTAACATCTCTGTTAAAAAGGTCTACCAATTACATCTCTTTTTTTTATGCTGAACAGCTATTAACCTTTGAGTTTGGAAACAAAAATGCTGTAAATATATAACCAAGAAATACCTGGGCAGTATTAGGCTAAAGGACTAACATATATAGAACATGGAAGTACTAGGTTACAGGAAGTATTAGAAGTTACAGGTTCTCTCTAAAGGATTTGCTGCATTTCAGTCAGAAGCAAAGGCTTCTGCAGAAAAGCAGAGGCTGAACACCAGAATTGTTGAAAAAGAGTTTTTTATCAGCTCCCTACAGGGAGTAGGACAATGTGACCCCTTAACACCTTGAGGACAGCTGGAAAGGAGCAGTCTTTCTGCAGTTCTGCTCCTATTCATCCGATTTGCCTTCAAACTTTCAAACTCTATTTTGATTTTTTTACTCTTCAAAACCGGGGAGGAGAATGAAAATTTCCTCTCAGGTCAGCTGCACATACCTATTCCACTGTCATCAAGCCTCATGTAGCCTTCTGCTAGCGAGCTAAAGCCAGTCAGCCCTCCCATGGCAGCGTAAGGAACATCCTGCCCCACGGGCTTGCCTTGGGCTAAGCGCTCCTCTTTGGTCTCCACAACTGTTTCATGAGCATATGCTGGCTGGCCACATGCACAGGTAAAGCAGCTATGAAAGCCTGAACACTTGGAACCTAAGAAACAAATTAACGAGTGAGATGGTGATGGGATTGAAGCATCCAGCTGTATAAAAAGGCTGTATAAAAGAGAAAAGACAAGTCTTGGGATTAGATCATGAGGGCCATCTAGTCACAGGATATTACTAAGCCAAATTTCAAGTACCTCTGAGGATGGATATTCCACCTTTCTGAGCAGCCTGGATCAATGCTGGATCAGAAATTTATTTTCTGATTGCTAACTGTATTTCCTATGTTACAAATTGTGTTCATTTTCATTAACAACACACCTCTCCATCCACTTACAATGAATGAAAAGAAAAGAAGTTCTGACACTGAGTAAAGCTGACAACCTGCCAGCATTTTGGCAGCATTCCCTCCAAAGCCGTATAGCACATATCAATGTTGCAGGGCTAAGAAACTTCATACTACAATTTATTATAAAAATCACAATTTAAATATATTTTAAAATTAGCAAATAGAGACTGTGGAAGCAACAAAATGGGTTCTATGCAGGAGAATAATTAGACTGACTTTCAGGGGGTTTTAAGCTTACACAGTCACAGGATGTAATTGAAATAATTATACAAATATTATGCGACATTCAGAAACAGAGTAAAGTAACCTGTCTGCCTATTGACATCTAAAAGCGTCACCAAAGCCCCTCTGGAGCAATGATGTGACCAAGAAATTTAGGAAGTGATGTTGCTAGTGCTTTGCAATACAAATTACCCTTCTTCCAGCTCACAGTTCATTTTGTGGAGCACCATGAAAGACTTCTGTAAGTCTTTTGCAATATGTTGATCACATTCTTGAAAATGTTAAAGGCTTTTTTGTATTACTTTGGGCACTCCTGAGTAACAAAACTCTATGTTTGGACACAGAATACAGTATATGCAATATATACAGAGCAACTAGCGGGTACATTTTTCAGTTATAACTTATCTGTCACATTAGATTTATCAGCACTGGACACTTGCACCATTACATTAAAACAAAATCCAAAGTACAAGCAATTCTTGGCACTTAATTGCAAAATCTATGAAGCCCTCAGAAGTGTCTGGTTTTTAAGAAACACTAAAGAAAAAAGCATTATATGTATTAATATTGAAAACACTGTGTTCTATGGATTCAGTCTGAATTATCCAGCTGCACATCTAAGATTTTCACATTACTTAGTGCAAATTCTTGAAAGGCTGTCATGTAGATATTTTATTCTGTGGGATACGATTCTCAACCAGCCAAAGCTGTTTACATTTTTTTTCTATACAAAATAGAGATATTTCATGAAAGAAATTTAATAACAGCACAGAAGTCCAGCAAAAAAATTCTTCCTCTTAAGTAATTGGAGGTTTCAAACTAAAACATCTTTATGCATTATTTTTTTCCTGTGGTTAATAATTACTGTTGTTTCATTACATTAACCTCAAACAACTGTAGCAAAAAGCTTCCACTTAATCCCTTTTCTAAGATCTTGCTGAAACTCCATTTCAGTTTGCATTTCTGGACACACAATCTATGTGGTCACGAACCTCTTTGTTAGAGTGCTAGTGATAGCACTATTTGGGAACCGAGTACTGCTTCCTACTGAGTTGAGGAAAGACATAAAAATAGATTAATGTTATAGTCAAATAGGCAATAAAGGAATGGAGATCAATACTTCTCTCTCAAAACACCAAGTTCAGGTAGAAAAGGCATGTGCATGCAGCTAGAAGTGACAAACTGCAGACAGGGAGCTTCCATACTGTCTGTTTCCATAAGCACCTATCTGAAGGATTCAGAGATTTAAACTACATCACAGGACCTGGGGAAACTAAGCATGTTGTTCTAAACCGTCCTGTGCAAAAAGTGCTGTCTTCCCTCTCACTTTTCATCCTTCCTCAAGGATCAAAATACCCATCAGCGGCAAGAGCAGCGCACACCCGGCACCCTGGGCAGAGCACAGATCTCTCACGGGCTGTTGCCTTGAGTTTCCCGGCCAAGAGCGCTGCGGGGCGAGCAGTAACTCACAGGAGAGGCAGGGGAAGGCGGGCACTGGGCTGTGCTGCTCGGGGAGGTGCTTGCAGCGGCAGCGGACGGGCTGGCTGCCGTTCAGCGGCACCGCCTGGAACGACGGGCACGGGCAGCGCCGCGCTCGGCAGGGCACACGGATGGGGCGCTCCCTGGGGAGCACCTCGTAGTCTGTTCGGTGCTGTTTGTACCTAAAACAGGAAAAGTTATAGCTTCTATAACTTTGTTAGCCATTATCAGAAAACCACCTGAAAGGCTTACCATTTGCTTCACAAGTTTTATTTTGAAGTAGTTTTAATTGTACTATTTACTCTTAATTGTTAATTTTCAACTCAATGCATAATAGCAGGTGGTTTTGCATCTATTCATTACATAAATTTGACATATCCTTATGTCTCATTTTGACAGCACTACCAGAAGCAATCTAATCTACTCTAACACATGCCTTACAGGTGAATTTATTGAGACTACAAAATCATTTTGGTCTCAAAAATATATTGACATCTGCATTTACAAACAATTCTTACACTTTAAAACTTGATTTTTTCAACCTTTAAACCCTTAAATAAACTGGCCTATGTGCTATTGTAACGTCTCTGGGAATATTTCACATTTTCCTGATTTTTAAAAATACTAAAATGTAAAAGAAGGGAAGCTACCCACCGGTGAGTACAAAAGCAGGGTGTCTCTGGTCCTACAAGCTTACAGTCCATGCCAGTTGGTGATCTCCAGCTCACATACAACCTGTTCTGTAGCCGAGCTGGTAATACTTTTCTTTTGTACTCCTCATATTCCTCAGGAGTAAAGAGCTTTCCTCCATCATCATCACCTACAATTCTGCATACATGGCATAAAAAAAAGGCCACAAGAAAATGAAGACAATAAAAATAGGTTTCTCCAGATATTTTTTTTCAAATAATACATAACAGAACTTTTTCTGTAAATGCAAAACAAATCTGTATTTCATATTACTCTTCTAATAATTTAACAGAACTATAGCTGATTTTTAGAGAATATTTTTTGAGTCATGCTCTTTTAAAAAATTTGCTCTCATGGACTGGAAACCAGGTGTAAGAGAGAAGGAAAAAAATAATACAGCAAACTGTCAGGGATTCTTTTGTAAAAAAAAGCAGTGAGCATCAAGATTCATGTAACCAGCCATGTAACCAACTCTGCCTCAGACTTCTTGACTGACCTCTGACAAATCACTCATCTACACCAAACTGTACTGCAAACTTGTATCTGAAGATTAATCTCAGTCTAGTCTGAGTATTCAGCTGCAAGCAGTTAACCCCACTGCCATCAAAGTAACAAACAACACATCCAAGCTGTCTAATGATTTGCAAGAAGATGATGTTAGTTTCTGTAGCTGAAGTTGGTGGGAGCTGTATCCCTCAATTCAGACAGGCACATTTGCTTAAGCTATTACTATGTTCAAATTCAAGGTCACTGAATAGCTGGAACTCTGGAGCAGCATCCAAATTCTGCATTTATGGAAACAATTAAGGACAATAATAAATAATAATTAAAGACAATAATAAGATATGTAAAATACAATTGAGACTTAGCTGCAGCACTTACCTGTGCTGAAAGTGATTTTATTAATGCATGTAAATATTTCAGTTATTATTTATTGGATATGCTAAAACGTGCTGAACGAGTGATTCTTTGTCAAATATTCTGTGGATTTCTGCACTGCCAGCACTGTACAGCACTAGAATAATGAGCCAACACAACGCTATCATTTGCATGTCAACCCAGCCAACACCCGCTGAATCACTGCACATCTTATGTAAGAAATACCACTGTGCCTTCCTCTGGTGTTTTACTCAAGATTTTCCTAAACTAAATTAAGATCTCAGCACAACGACTGTGTTTATTTTTATTCAGCCTTTCGAGAGGACCGCTGACAAGATTAGCAAACACACGCAGCAGTGTGGGGGATTTATACAATGCAAAACTTTGAGCTCGTGATGCACAGAAGTCCGTGTATTCTGAAAGAGCAGTACGGCTGGCAGATTATCAAATAATGGTTTGGGTAGGACGGGACCTTAAAGACCCCCAGCGCTCCTGCCGTGGGCAGGGATGCCACTGGTAGACCAGATGGCCTCCCACAGCACATCTCACGCTGCCTGGATGCGAGGGACGATGCGTGACTTCACTGCTGACAGCCAGGGCTTGCAACGCGTCCTCACCGGGGCACGGCAGCCACGGCATCCCCGCTGCGACAGCGAAGGGCGGGCGGTGCCTGTACAGGGCTCAACGGAGGCGCCGCAGACCCCGAAGCAGCAAATTCAGGAGGGCCGGGGGCGAGCATCCCTCCCGGGGGAATGCCGGGCCGGCTGCCGGGGATGCGACACGGCTGGAAACGCCCGTCCCCCGCCCCAGCGAGCCCAGCGCCTGTGCCCTCACCGCCGGTACTCCGCGTACTCCTCCAGGGCCTGCGCCTCCACCTGCAGCCGCTCCATGCCCGCCGGGCCGCCCGGGACAGCGTGCTGGGAGCGGGCAGGGCCCGCGCACCGAGCGCGGCGGGCGGCACGCACCGGGAGGAAGCGGGAGGCAGGCGGGGCAAAGGCGGGGGACAGGCGGAGGAAAGGTGAGGGACAAGCGGGGGACAGGCGGGGGGCAGGCAGGAGAAAGGTGGGGGACGGGGGGGACAGGCGGGGGAAGGCAAGGGACCGGCGAGAGGCACCCGGAGGCAGTGGGAGGAAAGGCGGGGGACAGGCAGAGTAAAGGAGGGAGCAGGCGGGGGAAAGGCGGGCGGGCTCGCCGCAGCACGCTCCGCACCGGCGGCCGTGAAACGTGCGGATCCGGAAGGTTCTGTGCAGCGGCCGTGAAACGTGCGGAACCGGGCGGTGTGTGCCGGCCCCGCGCCGCGGTGCTGGCCCGGCCGCCCGTTACCGGGAGCGCCGCGACGAGTCACACACCGGGGCGAGGTGCTGCTCTGATTTGCTCTGGCTTGCGCAAAGCAGGGAGCAACGTGGCAACGCACAAAAGGCTAAGTCATCAAAACTTTACACTATTTATTCCATTGTAACAAAGGCATAGGCATTGGCTACAAATGGCATAATCTTTCTACTAATTAATTTTCAGCCCCCAATTTGCTCGTCATACCTCTCACCTGTCATGCTTATTAGTACACAGGCACGGTTCTGCCCATTTGAGTCTGGGGTCTCAGTTGCCCACAGCTGGAATTACCTTTCCCCCAGTTACTGGTCAGTTCTGCTGGCTTCACTCGCTGTGGCTCTCATCCAGTTCATTCATCTTGGAATTGTCTTCTCTTTTCCTTAGAGCAAAAAATTAGCCGAGCATACAACGTTCACAAGGCAACTGCTCAATCATAACTGTCCAGCCATGGCTACTGATTAACAACTAAAAAACTTGCAAGGTCTTGGGTGCCACCAGACACACAGCACAGCACCCAAGCCTTCCCAGTGCCTGCTTTGCACCCACGTTGCCCTCTGCTGCTGCTGCTATTTAGACCACCACTTTTCTGGTGGGTAGGTGAGGGGTATTTTTTTTGGTTGGTTACCGATTCCTCTTCCTTTACAAAATGAATGTTCCATTAGAAAATAGGATTTGCTCATAGTTCAAGACGATAGGAAGCCAACTTTGGGAAACATTCCTAACCAAAGATGGTTCTTACACTGCCAGCCTGCAAGTCCCACTTCCTCTCCATATGCCACAATCAATGTAACCACATTGGAACAACTCCTCAATGTGTTTTTAGAGAATCTACCATAGGCTGCTCTTTCTGATACTCCATTATCTGTGTAAATTGACTGATTCTCCTTGAAACAAACAGGCTGACTACAAAGTGACAAGTATGTGAAGAAAAAATATAGTATGTTTTTCCTATCTGAGCTTTAGGAAATTGGTGCTTAAATTGTGCTCTGCCTGCAAGCATAAGCTATATGCCTTCAGACTGTCAAATTCAGATCCAAGAGGAAAGGCCTTTTCTATACCATACAATACTTCCCTGTCAAAAAAAAAAAAAATCAAACCAGCAATTCAGGGAAATCTCCACATAGCTCTGAACTGGGCAAGCCACCAGCAATGCAGCAGAAGGTGAAGAGGAATGTCACAAGGACCATGGCGATATGTTGCCAAAACATCCTCCAGAGGGAGATGAAACAACAGGGACACTCTCAGGTTCCCAGCAGTATCCAAGGAAGGTGATAGGGCATATGGTCCGGACATTTGTCCTGTGGCTATGCCACATGTATAAGAAATTTCAGCAGAGCAGACAGCACTGCAACACAACAAACACGTTCTTCACACTGAGATCTGAATACGAACAGGTCACCCTCAAAGACAGGAAAGATGTGGGAGCACGTCCCCACTGCAGTCAATACATCTTCAAGTAAGATAGTGGAAGAAATAAAATCGCAAACACACGCACCAGAAAAACAACAACGAAAAAACCCAAACAAACAAAAACAAACAAACAAAAAGCAAACAAAAAAAAAACAAAAAAAAACAAAAAACAAACAAAAAAAAAAGCACCACGGTTGTCAGGGGAAAATCAGGGAAGAGAAAATTCTTCCACTGACCAGAACTTCGAAAAATAAACAGATGGGGGTAAGGGGACCGTGAAAGCAGGACTAGAAGCTCTGCAGAGAGTTTGAGCATACTGGGAACACACTGCTCCACAGGAGCTGCACAAAATCGAAGATGTCTGAGATACCTTATCTGTATGCACGTTTTGCTGGTGCCAGAGATTCCAGCATTGCCAGTAAAGGGGGAGGTGTGGGGGGAAGAAGAGCTCTGGCAAGCCGGGTTCACAGAGAATGAGCAGAGCTCCTGTGTCATGGGGTTGATGTGCCTCATCTGTGCAAGTTCTTTGTTAAAAACAGTCCCCTGAAATACAGTTTGATTTAGAGAGAAGAGGCAGCTTTCTTAATAAGGCAGCTGAGGGGTACAAATGTTAGTCTGTATGTCACTCATGTCAGTTTTTATGAATGAACAGCCAGTGAGAACTTACTGAGAGTAGGAAATGAACTAATTTTTTGTGAGGCATCTGTCCTATGAACTACTTTCCATCAAAAAAATTGGGGATCTTTTTCCTGGATTTGATTAGAACAAGTGTTTAGCAATACAGACAGTGTATCGGTTTATTAGCACCCAGTGCTAGCAAGACCCGCCCCAAGATCTGCTTAGATCTAAATCTGGATCAGTAGACTTCCTTGGGAACAGATATAAAAGTAACTCAGAAATTGAGTTCTTAGCTAATAAAGGTATCTCAAACACTCTCTTTTTACTGTCACAGCATGAGTATTGGAATACATTTTGAATTTAGAAAACCCATTCCTGTCTCTCTAGGAGATTGTTAATAGACATCCAAAATAAAATTCATTAAAGACTGCTCAAAACAGATTTTTTTTTTGTAAACTACCACATCATTTTGAATAGCAGGAAAGAAAAAAAAAAGGCTTTCTGCTGCCGTGAAGAAGCCACAAGGTAAGTAAAAGGAAGGGGAATCCAGATGGCATGTTTTCCCTCCTGTAGTTGTGATGTAGCATACGGATACTGCTGGCCCAAGATCTCTGAACACATCAAAGTGGGTTGAACATATGGACACATACTTACACTACAGCTCTGTGAGACCTAAGGTGCTGCCTACACATCAAAGACAACAGCTTAATGCTTCACAGGGTGTTGACAGTCTCTCTCAACACCCTCTGTTAACAATAAAATGTGTGACCCTTTAAATGTTTTAAAACCCGTACAAGTTTGACAAGTGCTTAAAATTATTCTCAGTGAAACATCTATAAATTGAAGATAGCCACTTCAGTAATGAAAAAATTTAGGAAAAACCTGTTTTAATATTTCAGACTCAAGTCATCATTTTGAAATAGTAGTCAGTCATTCTATTTCTATGGATCTGGTCAACGACTGTCTAATCAGCTCTTCTGAAAATTAGAATAATTTAAGTGGCATAAAGCATAGCAGAAACAGTTTCTGTCAAATTGTTTCCTCTCTCCACATGTGCTATCAATATCCTGATAAACTCAAAAGCAAATGCAAGCAGTACTCGCTTTTATAAACTTCTAACCATGACTATATACTATGCTACAGTAAAAATTAGTTTGTGTATTATTAAACCTAGTTTACAGTATTTTAAAATGTCAACATGTTTTTCTTCAGTTTTGCTACCAGAAAAACAGGACCTGATTAGACACCAATTGACAAAGTAAGTTGATGAATGCCACAGGGATATGGAAGCTCATGTGCAAGCAAGGATCAACTAATAATGAAAGGCTTTTGCTGGAGGTACTGACAAATACAGTTAGGAAACTTGTAGTAATTAAGATCACACAGAGATAAGATAATTCAGCAGTATGTCATGCCACTGGTGCTTAAGAGATGTGATTCCATGAATGTATGTAAAGTGAATATTTTTTTAAATTTGGCTTCATTTTAATAACATAAAGGATATTTTCAAATGCCTTTGCGCATCATTTCTAATAAACTGAGATTCGTGAAATACCCATTCAGTACCAGTCTTTTCACGTGAAAAACATAGCAGAAGTCCAATTCACTTCTTTGGCTGCTATAAAGGGAAGTCTCCCATTTCACTCTTGCTTTTGAAGGTGGCATGCTATCAGATACACAAAATTGAACCCCAAAGATAGCAGACTCTTTGTTTTGTAAAGTACAAAACAATAAAAGAGCACAGTCATTAGTGAGGAGGGTCATATTTGGATTGATAATTGACATTCTATATCACCTTTAAAATTAGCACACTAATTTTACGTAAGAAGGTTTTAGATATTCAGCTCAATTAGTAAATACATTTTTAGGAATTAAAAGGTTTTCAAGAAAACGTAATAAACCAGGATGTTAAATTTTATGAAATCATTTTCCTAAATAACTTCTTGATAGAGGCTCCCAAATTTACTCTGCTTCTGCATTCCCACGAACAAAAGCTGTGACAGCAGCAAATACCCCCATAACATGTACCTGCACAGGAGGTCTTGGTTGCTAAAGCAACTTGCACACATCACAAACATGATGCAGCTTGGAAACCACTGCATTAGCAAATATTTTTAATTAGAATTCACATCTATCTAGTCAGCTTCTATAAATGATCGTCATTGAAAAACAAGGATTTAGCAGTTACTTGGAAAAACAGACAACTGTGCACTATGTGATGTATAATACTGTGTGCCAAGGATACTGATGTTTTACCACATTAAACACAAGAAGCTGTATATCCTGGGCCATGTTTTTGTATTTTTTAAATTATTTTATTTAAAACAGACCACCAAATTTCTGTGATCTTAACAGTACATAGGCAACTTGTTAAGAGCTGTCTCAGTGTGTTCAGAGCAGTGTTTGTCCATCTGCCCACCCATTCATGTCTTTAATATGGAACCCCTCAGCACTTTTTCTTCTTCACATACAACTGTGAGAAAATGCTTGGATATCTTAATTATGTTAAGATTACTATGCAGAGATTCAAAAC